GAAAAATCTTGGTGTTAAATGCTATAAAAAATTCTTTAATTTTATTAGGATTTTAAAGTTTTGACCATTTCTACGAAAAATAATAGGAAGAATTTGTTCAGCAGGAACTAAAGCTATATTAGAGGTGGTTACCTTACTAATAATAAGCATTTATATATAAATTCATATTTAGCATGACATGCTATTTTGATAAAATATTTCAGAGGCAGTATCGTTTTATATTTAAGAACAATTGTTCTTTGAGAATTTACTTAGACAATTTGATGAAAGAATTCTTTTACAGAATAAAGCACAACTCAGATAACCAACCTGTTAAAGAATAGAGGCAATAGTTAAAGACAATTCTTCAACCTCTTAAAAAGGGAACATCATCTAATTAGTCTGAACCTCAAACAGCACTGTCCTCAGTGCACAAGAAACAGTGCATTACAATCATTAAAATGGATCCTTTTTATCATACTCCACTCAAACATCTTAAAAGATGGCATTTCCTTCTTTCTTTCTTATGGCATATGATTTTATTGCCACAGTGATTCTAGAAACCTCTATTGGCTGGTTTCTGTACATTGTTCTTCATTAATGTCATGGCGTTGTACCCTTTTCAATCAAAGCATTCATCATTTTGCCCTCGATTGCTCCCTCCAGCTCTCTCCTTGTCTACTTTTCTTACCGAGGTTAAGAGGTGTAGCCCTGTTTTTCTCTGTAAAGTTCCCTATTTATAGCTCTCAACTGTTTTACTGGCTCTGTACTTAATATTGCACAATGGCATCTCTTGATTAGTCACTAAGTCATAATGAAGCTTTGTTTACTATAAAGTGAAACGCAACTGGCAATTGTTATATGCCTAAAACCCAGTCAAAAGAAAAAGGAATATTGCTAGAGCTGTTGTTCATGAAATTATGAGATTTCTTGAAAGAGTGTAATGAAAGACATTTAGATGCACAGCATGAGCATTTATTTTCTTTCTCTAATGCCATTTAGTGGTGGATCTGAACCATCTAAAGGAGGAGGTGAAATTATACAGCTGCACCCCTCGCAACTTTTCGGTGTCCATCAGGGAAGAGCTAAAGAGAGCCGATACCATTTTCTGGCCAGGTTGTCTCTTGGTGAAACGCTGTGGTGGAAACTGTGCTTGTTGTGTCCACAATTGCAATGAGTGTCAATGTGTCCCAAGTAAAGTCACCAAAAAATATCATGAGGTAGGTATATAATTTTCTCTTTTGCTTCCTTTGGGTATTTTGTGTATTGAAAAGTATTTTTAAAAAATCTCATATTCACTGCAGTAAGTTTGTGGTTAGAAAAGAGATTTAGCATCCATGGGGGTGGGGGCTAGAACCAAGCTTACACAGGATTCTGTGCCTATTTGTTAAAATTAGGACACTTAATTGAGAACATCAAATATGTATTTTTTTTT